CACACTTAGTTCACCATACTATAGGGAATAGAACTGATCTGGATCCAATCATTTAGGACATTGTTCTTTTTATAGAATCATTCCTACCTAGAACTTTGGTTTTTAATATTATCTGTAGGCACGTTGATCAGATTAGATAAAATATAATCCATAATTAGGAATAGTAATAAGTAAATGATAAGATTTTCACATATTGGATATAATTCGATAAACAATCAAGTTTATTGACGAAAATGTTTGCTCCATACAATTATAACTTTACCCAAAAAAGATTATTCACCCAAGGTTATCTATAGACATATATCTTCTTACCAATCATGTAGACACGATTTCTGTGGTAAATATTTCATAACTGTTTTGTATCAACCCTTCAAAAATAACTCTCCTACCTCAATGGTGCTTTCATCTATCCTAATATGATATGTATAGGATTTGAAAGATCATCAGTCAATAAAAGTTTTTCTTTTGCAAAATAATATGCTCATATGAAAAATATCAACACAGAAGTAAACATTGCAAGATGTTATAATTCATTGAAAAGTATTGCATTATTCAGGCCGCTTACTTCCTCTTAAACTAAGATCTGTTTATGCAGCTTAATTCATGGCCATCAAAAAATACAGCGGTAAAGGTTTACAACTCATACTAAATAATAACAATGGTAGAGTCACTTCACTGTATGTGGCTACCATTGAGACTGTTCCTACTCGTTCAAACTTATTGTAATAATAATGTATACGGTTTTTGAAAATGAAACTATGATCGGTGAGATTTATTATTTGTTATGTTGCTTGGTGAGTAAATTTTAACTTTCTTACTTTTAAACAACCCTAAAACTAACAGAATAATCACGTAATTAATATATTTATTTGCCTATCATATTCTACGTAATACAGAAAAAATCTATCTAAATTTCAAAAGTATTTCCTTTAGTTTTAAGGAATAAATTAGGTTCCCACTTTTGTCCACTTTCATGTAACACTTACTTTGTCGATGCTTTAAATTATCAAATGTAGGGAGGTGAGTTTATGAAACATGTTTGTTTCCATATAGAATAATTTTGAAATGTATGATGAACAAATAAGCAAGTAAATAATATTATACCGGTAAACCGTACCAAGGGCAAACTTACTATTCCATAAATTCAAATATGCACCTTTAATTGAACATCAGGAGGATTACTTGGTAAAACTATGTTTTTCTGTTAAAATAGCCCGTGTACAAAAACTTTGAAGTGTACAGTTTTGTTTTCAATCTTAAGATAAAAATGTTTCATTGGATTTATGAGTGTTCACTTTTCTGTTGTTGACATTCAAGGTTGAAATGACCAAGGACTAACAAAAGAATTCAAGACGTGTATATTTCACTGTCATTTCACAATGAATAATCAATAACTATAAATCACGAATTATTTACAGATACAAATTACATAAACAGAAGACGAGAGGTGTCTTTTCGCAATTTCAAATTTAAACTAATAAACAGATTAGTAGTTTATGTACCTATGAAAAGCTTTATAGATTACTTAAGGAAAAACCAATATCTCAACGACTTTCACATTGTTACAAAATGATTTATTTTTAGGTTTATTATTCTTGAACGATGAAATGAGTATTATAAGACGGTGATTTAGTTGATAAAATATTCTCTTTCAATCAATATGTTGCAGTTTAGGATCGCTCTCAGCCAACTTTAAGATGGTATTACTTATTCTTATAAAAACAACGTCTATCTAGTAAAAATGATTTACATCAAAAAGTAACAAAAACTTCAGTAAATTCTTAAATCATGTAGATTTCTCACACCAAATACAAGATAACGGAGCCATAGAGTTGACTGACTTTCGCAGATTCGTATCTAATAATACTACTAGTCAGTAAAGCCTTTCTTACAATTCAACCTATATTCATAAAATAAGTCAATGTTCCCAACAAACAAGTATTCAGTACATCTTATATAAGAAAATATTATAATGTATTTCTCATAAGCTAAACATTGTGAACCCAGAAAGTGTATCTTATATATATATAAATTCATCTACAGAAAGTATGCTGATAGACATTTAAGTAGGTATTAAATGGGCTTGTGAAGTCATATTTGAAACATTTGAATGTTAAAAAAATTTAATACACCATAGAGAAACCATAATTTGTTAGATTATTTCCAATTTCGCTTGATTAGATTAATCATTTCTATTTTATATGTCTTAGTATTTTTATTTCTCAAATATACTATCGAGCCAAAAGATTTATTTGCAAAACATTGTCATCAATATTTTTCCACAATTTTGTTTCAAAATCACATCCAAAAAACCAATGGAATGAAAAAACTCTAGCAAATGTTTTACAAATATTCTTGATTCGATTTTAAAGGTATCAATCAATTTAAAGATAATTTACATCACAAACTAACTATAGCTAAACAATCATGATACACTTAACTAATTCAAACAGCTATTTCAACACAGTATACAATTTCTCAACCCTAACGTTATTACTGTTTCGTCTTTCATGACATTTACACAACAAAAGTTGTTACTACACAAAATTAAGTCTATATACATCTAAACTATGAGATTTATAACTATTATCCAAATTGAATCAAAACACTTTTTAAGACTTACAATCAATAACACAGTACAGTCACTTAAAAATTAATCAACAAATCTTTTACCTTTATACAAATTCATAGAAATAACATTGTATATTAATGTAAATTGTACTTTACTTACTTAATATTTTGATATTCCATAAAATATCATGAATTAATAGAAACCTAGTGATCTGTATTTCAAGTACTAATGACATGAAATACTGACAATTATCTTTAATTAACCACATTATTTATTGAATTAAAATTTCCCCTTTGTTTTCATTTATTTTCATTTATACTTAATACAATTCATTGAAACTTGAATTAATCGTATATCGTCTTATATACATAAATTTCAAGGTTAATCAAACCAACAAAATTGTATAATAAATAAAATAAAAAAATAAACAAACTTAGAGAATAATTAAATAAATAATTGTAAATAAACATAAACGTTGATTATTTTATTTATTCAGTCTCTTTTTTTCTATATTAACATTTTATATTAACTAATAGATAACTGTTTTGTTACAAAAATGTAAACAAGATAAGATCTAAGATCAGATTTTTCAAAACAAAAACAAAAAAATAACATCATTGATGATTTATATGAAGTGTGAATGATGAATATGAACTGATTAAATAAAAAAAATCATTGAAATGATTTTCAATAAAATTTATTAATTGAAAATTTAAAGAAACAAACATCTACTTTTTTTCTCTTGGCAACTTAACGAATTCACTTAAAATGTTTGGTAGAAACAACAACAAAAAATAGGAAACCGGAAATTCGATGAAAATTTACTCATTTCAAATGAAACATGGAAATTAAATTATTTTTTATTATGATATGTCATTATATTAGGGTGAAAATGTATAAAATGTGATGAAACTTGATTTGTATTATTCTTATACTAAACCATGGATAAACATAGATGAAAAGCATAAAATTTCATCAGGATTTATTTAGTTTTCAATAATTGTATCACAGGCATTCATAATGATAGATTAATCATTTTGAATAGTGGTAATGAAGATAACTTAAACATTGAGTATTATAAACAATCATGCAATAAAGATATTGCAGATATATTAACTACACTCATTTGTTTTAAATGAATATTTCAGTCATGACTAAAGTCCTGTACATACTATTTAAAGTGTAGTTAGTTAACCGTATGGTATGTAGTGCAAATAACTTTCTTCCTACATTTAACAAATATTTTATTAAATAAAGACATTTATCGACCATAATAAACCGAGTTTTCTGTTCGTTACATTTGGCGACTTATCAATGGAATCCTATCTTTATTACGTAAAATTCATATTGTTCTATAATACACAATATACTGGAGGCCAACTTTTATTTTACTTATGTTTCGAATTAGATTGGATATAGACGAACTATTTCATTGTGTTTTGATAGTATGAATAACGATGAAAAAATACTCAAGTCACATACATAGGTCTAAACGTGGGAATTGATGTCAAAGACGTTTCCTTAACTAATTAACTGAGTCTTACTAATTGACAAATAGTTCTGTTATTTTGTGACTATCCAATCAATAAGTTATATTAAAGTTTTAAATAAAAAATATCAACCATCTGTTAAAAATAATTAGCTAATAGACATGAGATTACTTAGAATACACAACAATATGTTTAGTGGTGTGTTGAGTGATTCTTCACAATAAGGTTGCCAAAAATAGGCTTTGCTGTGGTATAAGACACTGATTTAGTTTTCTTTTAGCGAACATATTAGTTATTAAATCCCAAATGTTCACTAGATTAGACTAATTTTGACGAAAATTAGTCGCTTTTGAAACAATTTCAAGAATAATTTCTCATAATAAACTATGAAAATCACAGTTTTCATGTTAAAAATGTACATAATTGTATTATATATTTAAAAACAGATCATTTGATTATACTTATTTATCAGTATGCGTAATTATCAGTAGCTTCACAAAATAACACTTAGATACATATGGAATAGTATTCGTCTTCAATTATTAAATTGACTTACTCAAGTTTAAAATATTTCAGTAAAGATCTTGGATAAGATACCAATTTTTTTATATATACATAAACAAAACTCCCTATTTATGTTTTATTTTAAAAACTGTTTTGTGTATTGATAAAATTTAATTGTATATATACTATTTATTTATTAAAATACATAATAACCTTGTACAACATAATATAGAATAATAAAACTTAACATGATAAGTAAACTATTCAAAATTTCTACAATGGACTCATTTTCATTTCTCCATTCTTATTAAATCAGATTCTTTAAATATTCATTTTATTTTTATATTCATAATCAATATGAATAAACAAAACAAAAAAAAAAACGAATTGAACATTGATTATAAATTCAAAATAAAAATCAATAATTCAATTACCTGATTTTTATAATATTTTAATATAGGCCAATATCATACATTTTCTTTTTATATATTCTTTGATAATAGATTTAAAATAATTCAAATAATTTTAATTAAAATTATATTAGAATTGAATGTAAAAAAGAAATGATAATGATTGTTTGTTTTATTTTTTCTTTTTTTCTTTTAATTCTTTTTTTATTTGACAACTTATATGCTACACTTGAAATCTGATATTTGACAAAAATGTTAATAATAATAATAATTATTATTATTATTATTATTAATGATAATGATTATTGTCTTAATATATCACTAACTACACGATAGAATAAATAACATTATGAAATTATCGAAATTTTTAAAATTTAATTAATACTAACATACAAGCACGTACGCACAATAAGCATATACATACACACATAAACACCATTTTTATTTTCGATACGCAGTATACTGATATATACCACGTGGAATATAAAGATGATATATAGTTTAGAATTATTAGTATGATTAAAACTGTGATTTTATTATTATTAGTAGTAGTAGTAGTAGTGGTAGTATTTTTTGTATCATTATTATTGGTGATAATAGTGGTGGTGATGGTGATAGTATTAGTAATATTAGTAGTAGTAGTAGTACTGTGTGTATTATTAATACAATCCATATTAAACTTATTATAAATAATAAATATGAAAAGTACAAATTATTAGTTAATATTATATAGACAGGTATAATGATGTTAGATAAATAGACAGGTGAGTATAAAGTGAAACTAATATAGTTTTGAGTAGTTTAGAAAAAAGAAACCTTTTGTTTTATCGTTTGTTTTGTTTTTTTATTTATTAAAGACACTAATTAACCCGTCAAAATAGTTCGGAATATTATTATTATTTTTTGTTATTGTTGATAATAATGTTCAACAATCAATTGTTATTTAACTTTTACAACTAATGACAATGATAGCAACTATTATAAAACAAACTATAGAACTTAAAATGATCCATATAAAGTTCGAAATAATGACAAATGAACAAATATATAAGTAGATAATTTGGAAGTTACAAAATTTATTTACTATTGGATGCCGGATCAGTAGTCTAGTTGTTAAGCGCTCGTGCATGAGACTGATACGTCTTGGGTTCGAGTCTCGTGAGGTAGAATCGTTGATGCGTACTGCTGAGGGCGAAACGGCCATCCAGTGCTTTCAGGTTTTCCACGGTGGTCTAGCTTCAATTGACTCATGATCTCAACCATTAAAACTATTTATTATTGTTTAGCTAAAATTAAATAAATTTATTTTGCTTATTAAATGCATGTAGATAGATAAATAGGTTTTCAAATTAGTAGAGAGGAAACGCTAAACAGCTTAAGTAACAAATTCTTTAAATCCACCAGTAAAAACAGTTATTCATTCAGGTCAATGATTATGGTTGTGAATATTACTTTACTTCAAATGTTAACATCTATTTATATGTTGTAATATCAAATATGTTAAACATATTTGTATATTTTAACTTCAATTAATATCCGACAGATTTCTATCATTCGCTATTTACATAGATAAACTGAAACACAACAAAAAATAGATAATTATCAGACAGATTCTTAACTATGTATTAACAAAACACTATGAATAAATATTCATTTTCATAATATTTGATATTTTTATTAAGGTTGACCATAATTTTCTAGTGATTACTACATTTTCTATCCTTTATAAGATAACTACACATATAGCGTTTCTTTATATTAATCTGACTAACTCTATTTGTTTTCCAGCAATTATTCCGTTTGCGTTCTAACATGTGATGTGTATAAATAAATGAACCATGAGTGAATACATCATAAACATAAAAAACTGGATTCTCATTACTCTTTTATGAATAACCCTGTAATCCATCAGCTATGCTTAGTTTAGTCAAAGATCAATAAACACTACCCTTACAAATTTGGGGAAATACAACTATATATGTATATACTATTCAAGATGAAGGGCATAAACTTTTTTCACAAGTGGTAAAAGCATTAAATTTTTTAAATACATTTGAAGTGTATAATGTTGTCTATCATACATATACGAACACCTCATCTTTGGAAATATACTTGGACAGCTCTTAAATTTATGTTATACGCACAGGTTTTTTTAATAGGAAATAACATGTTAAATACAAGAGCTATATAGATAGTTTCTGTAGTATTTAACAAACTAACAAAATTAATTTGATTCATAGAACGGAAGATTTTGGAACTTATAAATTAATAGTCGGTCATAATCAATAATTTATATAAGTTCATAATTTCTTTTTAACTTCATTTAAAACAATATTTTCATAATTCTTTTTAATGTACTCTTATTTATTGATTTTAGAAAATGATTGATTATTTTAATAAATAAATATCTTTGTCAGATAATGATCACAACGCTTTATACAAGTTTTTTTTACAATAAGCTTGTTTTAATTATTTTATCGTTTTTTGTCACACTTCTTAAATAGATTATATTCATCTTCAAACTTTATTGAAAAAAAAGATTGATGTAATGTCACGAAACTATTAGGAGCAAATAATATCAAAGTTCGGGTTCTACTGTAAACATCACCATTGGAATGAAGGTACATCTAACTAATAAGTTCTTTAAAGAAAAAAAAACACCCATCTTAGGTTCTATCACTAGTCACGATCAATATATGTCAAAGTGTTGGATAATATTCGAATTGTTTATATATTTCAAACCTTTCTTCACTGAGTAGGTAATACGTTTATTTAACTTAGCGTAATCAAATATTTGTAATAAATGCAAACCAATAATTTGTATGCAAGTCCATTTATATGTACTAGTGACTAAATTAATTCAAAAATAAACAAGCCAGTCACGGTACAATTTGAGTAGACGTAAATAGAATTAAACATTTGTTTATTTATAAAATAGGAATTTTTGACTCAATTTCAAGGTATGAAAACTATTACTGTGGGTGGTTTAACGTAAAATTTTGTTAATTCAGTGAAATTAACGAAATAGAAGTTAATTAAACAATAAAGTTTTCAGGAAATTTATTGTTTATTCAACAGAAAATTCATTGGGCCAGAGCTCACTTGTATACAATAAAAGATCTGCTATGTCGATTTCATAATATTGTATATGGTACATTTAACGTTCAATTTAGTGAATAATCATCGATAAAACTTGTGATTAGGTTTACATGTTTTAAATTAATAGATCAGTAAGCTTAATATCACAATGTAAAGCAAGCTATAGTAAAGCATTAGAATACTTAAATTACTTAAATACTTAAATCAATAGCCTACGTCAGTGATCTACTCAAAAACTAGAGATCTGTGAATTGACGCTTAATTTAGATTAGCAGATTAGTAATAATTTAACTTGATGTCCCATAATGAAATTCAAATTCATCCTCTCAAATACCCTTCAATTATTTAGTTAAAACTCGATTATTCACAACTTTAATCTCAAAGAACTGATCCAAAGAAATCAATGATTACTTATATCACTGTTCACTTGACTTAACGGATTATCATTACACAGTGAAACTTTAGGAAATCTACCACAACAATATTTATTAAACAACACCAGAATTCATATTTAATCAAACAATATTTAGAAGAATTCAAACAATTTGAAGATCGTAAGTTTGTAGAGTTTAGGATTTCCGAATTTAATGTTTACCTAACTGATGTCACTATGTAGTTAAAACTACCATGTACATACAATTAAAATTATAAAACATATATATATATATATATACAAAAACTTATTGATTATATTTTAAATCCAGTTTGGAATAAGCTTAAAAACATGCATAACTACCATATCATACAAAACATTTCAATGAATCACTTGTTTCATTCAATTGGCTTTTGTTTTTTCGTTCTTTTTATGACTGAGAGTTTTTCTATAAAAAAGGCACCACAAAACTTTATGTGTTCATACAGTGTGTACATGTTTCTATCGTCAGTTATTGATTCAATATAAAATGTAAATTTTGAAAGGCAAGCGCTGTGCTTACATACATCTGGGGTTATGTGTGTAATAGAGAGAAAGAAAGAGACCCATAGAGTAACAAAATAATCAATAAAATCAGGTGACACAAAATTATATTTCAGAAATATAAGTTTTTATTTAAATCAAATAAAGACTGCACTCTTATATTCGATCTCTTAATGAATAAAAATATTCAAGTTAATTGTAAGGACTTTGTTCAAGATGAAATTAATTACTCTCATGGACTGAAATTAGTTGTAGAAACATTAAATACCATATATTTATATCATTCTACCTTAAAATGCATCAGTTGAGTATACCCACGACCTCATAAAAGCTCGAACCCGCAGGGAATGTTCCTGAGCATGCAAATACATTACTTAGTTCTCATGCTTCAGATAAATAGCTAGTTATAGAAAACAGAAAATATCAAACGCTAATATGTAAGCATAAAATCAAATGGAAAAGTTATTTGATCTCTAATTCAAAATAGAAATCCTTAGTTCATGAGTAACGTCATTACAGTCTTCGTGGGAGTACAAAGCATGATTTATATGCTACGATTATTAGTGTTATGAATATTAACACTATTCTGTAAGGTTGATAGCTAAGAAAATGTCATCTTCATTGGTCACTATCATTCAGAAATCGATTCAGTGTTATAAATACCCATTCATTATTTCGTCTAAATTAGTGAATTAATTAATAAGATACAACTTATGATGTATATAATTTCGTGTAATTTTTTTCAGAACGTACTGAACCTGTACAAAAATATTGGACTCAATTAATTCCATATTCAAATGGTATTACATGATAGTTTTCTATATATTATTGATATAATTAACTACAATACTTTCATCACATCATCAAACTCATACGGGTTTGTTTGAGTTCTGTGTTTATCAGTTAAGTAAACGTGCATGTCTATTTGAAGATGGTTATCATTACACTTAATATCCACAGAGAGTATATGTTCAATAGATGAAAAGTTTAGTATATTAGTCAATAGTTTGTGTAAGCTCCTTGATTCTAAAAGAGTGAATATCGTATGAAATTGGATTCACAATCGCTGACATTTTTCCACATATTTTGTGCAATAAAATGTTACGTGAAAATAACAGTGAACAGTCACTATCTGCAATATCATTCCTTTAGTTGTTACTGTGAAGAGAAAAACAAATAAAAAATGGTGAATGAAGTAAATCACTTCTTGAGGCATTATTCCGCTTAATTTGCAGTTTGTACTAACTAGTATTTAGTTTGCGTGATTGCCTCATTCAATTTATTCATAATCAGTCGTTTAGCCTACAG